GTTCTTTTGCAAAATTTGTCCTTTTTGCAAGCAGGAAAAAAAACTGGCACCTACTGACCTCATCTATATAACTGAGTGAAGTTACTGTGCCTATCACAAAATATATTTACTGATTTTTTCAGTTTGTTTGGGGGACAAATTAAATAAGACAGGAGTAACTCTGCCACTTTCTTTCACCCTAGAGATGCTATAGGTTTTACTGTATTACAAACCGGCTTCCGACTAACTGTGAAAATAATATACCTAGGAAAATAATATACCTAGGTGCACTTTGTAAACACTCACATTCTTCAGCATGCAACTAGGAGAAAGCCAATCAAGACGGGGTAAACAGGCAGGAAACAGCAGCAGTCCAAAATTTGAATCCATAAAAATCACAGTTTCGTGGCTACTGCGATGGATCAAAGTAGCCATGAAACATATCCAAAAAGATTTGAGATAAGCATCAAAAGGCCAAGGCAGCCAAGCCAGACTGTAGAGAACAGGAAACAATGTATAGAAAAATGATTGATGATCAAAATGATAAGATGCCTCCTGAATTTCCCTGTACTTGTCAAGCCAGCCTTCTGCCTTCAAAAGAGGTGAGGGATATGGTACATGGTACATTTGGCTTTTGCACATGGAAAAGGGTGACAGGATCCTGCTTTGTTTGTCTCAGTGTACTGACCAGAACAATAGGCTGTTAAGTGTCACAAGAAAACAAAGAACAACCCTGTGAGATGACTTAAACTAAACACCTCTTTTGAATAACAGCCAAGTCATAAAAATGTTGGCATATAAGCTCTTTTTTCTCCCCAGATTTATACTTTCATTCAATGTATTTCAACCTTAGGAACTTTAAGATATGTGGATTGCTTCCTGGGGAATTCTGGGAATTGAAGTCCACATATCTTAAAGTTGTTAAGGTTGAGAAATACTGTTGGATAATTTTCTTTTTTATTAGATAATATTCATTTCTTTTGGCAAAGCAATATATATGTTACAAATTGCTTTTACTTAAGCAGATCTGAATGTCAGAACTGCAGTTCTAAAATGGACTTATTCTAGGGAAAATGTTTCAGTTTTGAATAAATCTTTGAACGTTAAACTTTGTCAAGGTATTTTAATGTCAGTCAATGAAATCTGAGTTTTTAAGTCAAGTCAGCCTGTGATTATATAGTTGGCACCAGTAGTAGGCACATTTCGTTGAACCAGTTGGACGAAAAAATAGGAAAAAGTACTATGTAAGGTATAACAATAAATAGTGGTTTTGGAAGGGATTTTTATATATACTTCAGTTTTAAGGATTTTGCTAACACCCATAAAATTCAAATAAGCAAAAGTTGAAGCATCCAAAAAATCACGATCACCACAAAAAGGCACTTGTCTTATTGTATTTCTAACGACATTTGATTCCATCCAAAGATATATAAGCATCAAATTAACATAAATACTTAAGCCCAAGAAGAGAATTGGACTTCTTAGTTATGAGTCCTGGTGATGGTTAAAATGCAGTATTGCAGGCAAACTGCCCACAGTCTGGAGTTCGATCCTGTTTGGCTCAAGGTTGACTCCACTTTCCATCCTTCAGAGATCAGTAAAATGAGAACCCAGATGGTTTGGGGCAATATGCAAATAATGCTTCAACACTGAAACCGCCCAGAGAGTGCTGTAAAGAACTACGGTATGTGTTATATAACTTTAAATGCTACTACTATTGCTAATAGTAGGTTGTTTTTAAAACAAGACAAACATTGAAGCTTCTTCTAACAAGCACATTTCACTACTGTTAAAATTCTGTTCTACATTCTTAAACCATTGAAATATTTGTCACTGTCTCATATGGAACTCTTCTGGTTGTACCAAAGTCAAAGACAAAGATATGCAAATCTCCAAATGTCTTTTGACTGCTAAAAGTGAGAGCTGTTTAATATAAAATACTCATCTACCAACAGTCTATTTAATAGCATTTGTTTTGTTTATCTATTAACCAATAGATATGCTGAACTTCCACAATAGAAACAAACATCTGCCAGTCACAAATATTTTTCGTGAACCAGTATAAAAAAAGTGAATGTTTTTTTTTTTTTAAAGAGAAGCTAGATCACAATTTAGGGGGGGCCAGGCCTATACTGAAAAGACTTGGCAGCTCGATTCCAGGCCCAGAGAGAAAGAGAAAATGCAGTCATGAGTTTGGAATGCTTCCTTGTTCCTAAGTGATTAGCACAGCCTCTTCCCCTCCCCCTCCCCCCAGGACTGCCACTAGATGAGAGTGAGCTAAAGAAGCCAAAATAACTTTTTTTTTTTTTTTTACAAAAATGTCTCTAGAAGTCACTATCCATTGAACATAGCAAACCAGATTTTCAAGAATCCTGTTTCAAGGAAAACAAGAAATAGCTGGAAAAAGTAACTATCCTGCCACACAAAGTACTTCTGTCAGAGTTCCACATTTTTCTTACTCCAAGACAGCATATTTTTGCAACGCCTCCCCAAAGATTTATCACATCCCCATTTTTGTCCATAGAGGGAGAACCAGAGATTAAAAGATGAAAAGAATGTTTTCAACATGCTATTAGAAGTAGATATAAACTAAAGTCCTCTCTCTGAACATTTCCCACCCAGGTTGAGTTTACATAGGAGGTGGAGTAAGCATGCTACTCTCCCCTTCCCCCCACTATTCTTACCTATTCATATGGAACAAAAAACCATGGAGGACCTTCAATTTAAAGCCTAGGTCAGAGGTCTTCAAACTTGGCCCTTTTATGACTTGTGGACTTCAATTCCCAGAATTCCTCAGCCAGGCACGCTGACTGAGGAATTCTGGGAGTTGAAGTCCACAAGTCATAAAAGGGCCAAGTTTGAAGACCTTGGTCCATGGGGTCACAAAGAGTCCGACAATACTTAACCACTAAACAACAAATATATTCCAAGGACAATCCTCCATTTCACCAATTCAGATAAAGGTAGGGTCTACTTCTGAGAAAACAGAAAGAAGGGTTGGCATGGTAGCTTCACCTGCCTAGCCTCTGCTTATAGTGGATGACTTGTGCAGTGGACATCCTTTTCTGTCCATGAAGATTTGAAAGCCTCCCAGAATTCCTCAGTCTACAAGTCATAAAAGGGCCAAGTTTGAAGACCCCTGCCATGGATCATATCATGCTGACACACACAGACCCATCCTCCACTATCTCCCTCTTTGCTCAAACTCATGCCCACTGTGTCAATGGCACATTATTTAACCATCTCATTTTCTGTCATCCCCTTCTGCTTCTGCCTTCAATCTTTCCCACCATCAGAGCCTTTTCCAATGAGACCTCTCTTCTCATTTGGTGGCCAAAGTATTGGTACTCAGCCTCAAAAGGCAATATATATATAATTTAAAAAAGAGCTAGGCTTCAGCTGACTGTAGGTATTAATTAGAGACAAAGAAGGAAATGCCTTCAAGCATGTTACTCACAGATACCTGTATCTCCTGCCTCTTGCGTTAGGAATGGCTTTTCAGAGGTCAAGGAGAGGCATCTCTCAGCAAAGCCTGAGGAATAATACCAAGTAATAGTTTGTTCTAACTAAGCCTCTTTAAATAAGCTGCAGTGGTAGACTGTACATATGAGAAAAAGTCCTAAACCATGATATACAAACAATGGCAAGGTTATACAACATTCACCCCAAACCAAGTAAGCTTCATTATGGCTTAATGCAACACCTGTACTTTGCCAATCATCCTCTTTGAGAGAATCAAAGTAAAGCCTTTAAGGTCCTGGTGTACCTGTGTCAGTGTTGACTCCTAGTGATACCTGGACTTCTCTCTATAGCAGGGGTGTCAAGCTACCGGCCTGTGGGTCGGATGTGTCATGTGGAAGCCATGCCCACCCCAGCTCCAGCAAGGGGGGGGAAGTCACGACACATCACATGATGCAGCGAGTTTGATACCTCTACCCTGTTCTTGCCAAGGTTTTTTGTTAAGTGGTTTACCACTGCCTGCTTCCTTAGGATGAGACTGACTGACTCAAGGTCGCCCAGCTTGGAGGGTGGAACCAAAACTCACAGCCTTCCAGTTTTTAGTCTGATGTCTTTACTATTACACCAGTCTTTAGCAGCTTGCTTTTCTCAGAAGCCACTAAGGCAGGGGTCCTCAAGCTCGGCCACTTTAAGACTTGTGGACTTCAATTCCCAGAATTCCTCAGCCAGCAAAGCTGAGGAATTTTGAGGAATTGAAGTCCACAAGTCTTAAAGTGGCCAAGCTTGAGGACCCCTGCGCTAAGGTATAAGAAGTGATGGGAATCAGTACTTTATAACTTACCAGCTCCTCTCCCCAAGAAATGACAAACAGCCTACCAACAGGTTCAGTTCACACACACACACATCCCCACACCTTGTTCCAAACTTCATCTGGAAGTCAGAAGGAAATGTAAGAAATTTTCTTTTACAACCTCCAATCTCGCGTGATACCTATATCCAAAATATGCATTAACCTGAAATAACCAGATATTAGGAAATCCCGGTTCTATAAATTGCTCCAAAAGCAGAAATGGGCGAGAGTATAGTGTTCCTGCTCTTTGCCCAGTCTAACACAGATTGTTACAACACGGTTAAATACTTTGTAGAACGCGCCACCACTTAAAACGCAGTTCAGCCGGCGGGGGTCTCTCTGCGCTCTTTGATCTCCTCGCGTGGGCGTGGAACGCAGCCCAGCCAAAGCTAATGAGTAACAGTGTGGGATTCGACGCGAATCTCGGCCAAGTTTTGCTGCAGTCCAGAGCAACTACATAAGAGGGGTTTGCAAGTCATCGGGAGGGCTTCTGACACCCACGCCCCGTTTAAAAGCGACCTGACCACCTCGTTCCTCAGGACCGTCACGATAGTCCTGCCCAATTTCTCGTGTGCGCCCAGGCAATCCTCGACCTCAACATCACCCTCTTCCTCTTCCTCCTCCATCTCCTTCCTAGCCACCAAGCCAAGTTACTCGAGGGGCGCTCCTAGCTGCTCCAGCCCTAGTTGCATCTACCAGGTGCTCCTCTTACCCGGCCCAGGGCGGGAGGCTACTTTAGCACGAAGTCTCGTTCCGGCAGCCCGGATCTTCGCCTCCTCGGTACGGAGAAGAGAGAGCAGAAGTGGACTGGCTTCTCGGGATTGTCAGAGCCGCTCCGGCCGCCTCCTGCCCCGCCTGGGAGGAGGAGCTAGGATCGGGTCAGGCTCGGGGGCAAAAGGGGCGTGGGACCTGTCGCCGGATTAATTTGTGTCACGCTTCTCCAAGGCAGCGATGTATCTCACGCGGGGAACTCCTTAAGAGCATAGGGTGAGGGGCGTTTCCAGGCACCTCTGAGTAATACCGGCACCGCGATCAAAGCCTTTTGCAGACTTTCCTTCTTAAGCAGTTACTTTCAATTTGTTCTCATAGGCACTTTGCAGGTGAAGAAGAGGAAATGGCCGTGCCACGGTTATCCGGGAAGTTTGATGGAGACGAAAACGTCCCTAACTTTACTTAGATCCCTGACACAGACGGAGTTTGCTGCAGTTTTAGAGTTGGTAGCAAGCGAAAGTATTATTTTATCGCTTTGTGGACGTCCTCGGTTGGATAGCATGTGATACTCTAAAAGGGAAAGATAAGTCATTAGTTGTGTTTTGGGAGATTTCAGCAATTCTTGGAGAATAGAGTCAGGTTAAGGAGACGTAGCAACTCCTAGTACTAAGAACCAAATAAATTCACAAAATCTTTTTGCTGTGCCCCACTGCAGAACAGATAGGAATAATCCCGGGGTCCTTGATGCTCTCTGAGCTTGGTTATTTCCTTGCAAATGTTTCATTACCAAACTAGGTAACATCATCATTGCTAGAAGGGACTAGGGTTTGGTCTCATTTTTTATACTAGTGGCCTGCCCTGTCAGTGTTAGTGGGGATGGTCTTGGTAGTTCCTTAATTAGCTTGTTTGTAGTTCCTTGACTGGGTTGTTTACTTCTTGATTGTTGGTCAAATGTTAATCTTGGTGTTAATTGCTGCTCGTTTGAATGTTGATTGCTGGTGAGGTGTTTTGGTCTTTTTGTCTCCTTTTTGTCTTTTTGATTATCTCCTTTGAATGGTATGTAAATGTTGTTTATGTCTAGTGCCTGTTGATGGCACTGAGTGCCAGGCTTCCAGGAATTCTCTAGCATTTTTTTGGACTTGGTCTGGGATGTTCAGTTTCTCAGTTGAAACTATGGTTATATCTGTGTGCTGTGAAAGTTTTTATCAGATTTTCTGACTGCTACCAGTAGTAGATATTCTTGGATGCGCTCTGCTTGTCTTCTGCCTGTGGCAGTCCTTATGTTGTACTGTATGTTGTGGATGATTTCTATTTTTTTTTCTGGTGCTGTTTGGTTTTTTTGTTTACTTATGATGTTTTTGAAGACTTTAGTTGGTTTGTGTGCTATGATTGTAACAGTCTGTTGGTGATTTCTAAGATATTTTTGATTAAGTGGCATGGGTATCTGTTTTGGAAGACATTGTATAGACATTGTTTTTTTTTTCCTTAAAATGGGATTAAGCTTTTAGAAATGCACAAAAATTAACACTAAAGTACATCTGATTTTTCTTTCACAGATATTGCACATCTGTGAAAAACATGTAATGCTGACACTTTTAGTTATAGGAAAATATTTCAGCAGGGAATAGGATGAAGCATAAACATCAAACCCTCAAGCAAAAGTGATTATCTAGAACAGAGGTCCCCAACTTTTTGGGCACCAGGGTCTGGTTCTGTGGAAAAAGGGTTTCTGTGGACTGGAGGAGGTGTGGTTTTGTGGGCTGCCTGCATCCCATGGATAATAATAATAATAAAGTTGAAAGGGACCTTGGAGGTCATCTAGTCCAACCCCCCTGCTCAGGCAGGAAACCCTATACCATTTTGGACAAATGGCTGCCCAGTTTCTTCTTAAAAACTTCCAGTGTTGGGAGAATTTACCGGTTCTGGAGGCAGGTTGTTCCACTGGTTAATTGTTCTAACTGTCAGGAAGTTTCTCCTTAGTTCTAGGTTGCTTCTCTCTTTAGTTAGTTTCCACCCATTGCTTCTTGTCCTGCCTTCAGGCACTTTGAAAAATAGCTTGATTCCCTCTTCTTTGTGGCAGCCCCTGAGATATTGGAACACTGCTATCATGTCCCCTCTCATCCTTCTCTTCGTTAAACTAGACATACCCAATTCCAGCAACCGTTCCTTATATGTTTTAGCCTCCAGTCCCCTAATCATCTTTGTTGCTCTTCTTTGCTTGTTTGTGCAGACCGGTTGCTGGCGTGCCTCTGCCCAGTACCAGTCTACAGACTGGGGGCTTGGGACCCTGATCTAAAAAAATGTTTTTTCAACCTTGGCAACTTTTAAGATGCATAGACTTCATCTCCCAGAATCTCTCTGGCAGCAAGGTTGGGTGAGGAATTCTGGGAGTTGAAGTCCACACAACTTAAAGTGAAGAAATAATCCAATTCATAACAAAGACTGAAAGAAAAAATATTTCTACTTGCTTCTTTTCTTTTAGGGAATCTTTAGACATTAATGTGGATACCCCAATGAAAATAACAAAATTTAACCAGAAATTAATTGTGTTTTCATCTTTCCATATACCACTAAAATTGATTTCTGTAATCCTTAAATGCAAAATGGTGTACCATAGGGCAAAACATCTTTTTTGTTCAAATTTTATTTGTAATACAATTGTTGTTAATTGCGAAGTTGTGTCCGACCCGCCGCAACCCTATGGACAATGTTCCTCCAGGTCTTCCTGTCCTCTACCATCTTCTGGAGTCCATTTAAATTCACACCTACTGCTTCAGTGACTCCATCCAGCCATCTCATTCTCTGTCGTCCCCTTCTTCTATTGCCCTCAATCTTTCCCAGCATTAGGCTCTTCTCCAGTGAATCCTTCCTTCTCATTAGGTGGCCAAAGTACTTGAGTTTCAACTTCAGGATCTGGCCTTCTAAAGAGCAGTCGGGGTTGATCTCTTCTAGGACTGACCGGTTTGAACGCCTTGCAGTCCAAGGGACTCGCAGGAGTCTTCTCCAGCACCATAGTTCAAAGGCCTCAATTCTTTGGCGCTCAGCCTTTCTTATGGTCCAACTTTCACAGCCATACATTGCAACTGGGAAAACCATGGCCTGGACTATATGCACTTTTGTTGGCAGGGTGATGTCTCTGCTTTTTAGAATGCTGTTTAGATTTGCCATAGCTTTCCTCCCCAGGAGCAAGCGTCTTTTAATTTCTTGGCTGCAGTCCCCATCTGAGGTGATCTTTGAGCCCAGAAAAATAAAATCTGTCACTACACTGTAATACAATTAAAAACAAACAAACATTGGATTTGACGTGACATTCCAGTATATACATTCTTATCAGATTATTCCACTTTTTACAATCAATTCTTCATCTCTACATATACATCTAAGTTTTATATACAATACTTGTTCTAAAATAACATATATTTCTATCTTAATATTCGTCTTTAATCCCTACTGTCCTCTTCAATTCCTCCAGCTGTAAAATTTATCCCAGGTTTCATAATAAACTGATCCACATTTATCTTTTAATATCATTGTGAGCCTGTCCATTTCCGCACATGCTAATATTTTATGTATTAACTCTTCCTCTGTGGGAATTTCCTTGCTCTTCCATTTTTGCGCTAAAGCAAGCCTAGCTGCAGTCAGGATGTGTAGCAGCAGGTAGATTGTTCCCTTATCATATTTTTCTGTCATTATTCCCAACAAGAAGAGTTCAGGTTTTAACTCTAAGTCCAGTGTTAATATATCCCTCAACCAGTTCCATGTCCTGTTCCAATACTCACGGATTTTTGGGCATTCCCACCACATATGGTAGTATGAACCTAATGCTGTTTTACATTTCCAGCATAGGGGTGAAATGTTTGAACCCATTTTGGCTAACCTTATGGGTGGGAAATGCCATCTATAGAACATCTTGTAAAGATTTTCCTTATATGAGGTAGCTAAAGTGAGTTTCCTATTCCTTTCCCACAGTTCTTGCCAAATATGTAGGTCGATACTAAAACCAAAATCCCTACTCCAAATTAACATGGTCTCCTTAACCTGTTCTTCATACATTGTCTGATCTAAAAGAAAATGATATATATTTTTAATCATTTTATCCTTGGGACCTAATAAAATTTTATCTAGTTCTGTCGGTTCTATCTTTATACCCCACTCTTTTTTATCTTGCCTATATCTTGCTTGTAGTTGGAGGTATGCCACAATTCTAATTCTATCCCTGCATCTTGGAGATTCTTCCTCGATTTTAATTCTCCTCTCTTGTCTAGTATGTTTTTATAGGTTATTACTTTCCCCAACTGAATAAACCTTGGGTGTATGTACATTTCTAATGTTGAGATCCAATTAGTGACCTGCCTGTAGTTCTGTCGTCGAATTTTGATCCATACATCTATTAGTGCCTGTCTGATGTAGTGCCTCTGGAAGTACTGGTGAACTTTATGCTTCTCATCCCATAACATGGCATGCCATCCCGTCTGCATGTCATGACCTTCCAGTTTTAATAATCTCTGATTTTCCAGTCGAATCCAATCCCACACCCACAGTAAAACTGTAGATTGATAGTATTTTTCCAGATTGGGGAGGCCAAACCCCCCCCCTTTCCTTAACATCCTGTAATAATTTTAATTTAATCCTTGTTTTTTTTCCCTTGCCAAATGAATTTAAGTATGGTTTGGTTGAAATTTCGAAAGAATTCTTTTTCTAATCTAATTGGTATACATTGAAATAGAAATAATATTTTAGGTAATATGTTCATTTTAATTACGGCAATTCTACCCATGAAAGAAAGCTGGAGATTTGTCCAGGTGTCCAAGTCTGTTTTAATCTGATCCATTAATTTATCATAATTGTCTCTTTTAATTGTTACACACCTAGCTGTTAGATGTATCCCTCAGTATCTTATTTTTTTGTGATCTGAATACCTAATTTATCAGCTAGTTCAGTGGTTCTTAACCTGGGCGATATTGCCCCCTAGGGGGCGATTTCATTTTTCAAGGGGGCGATGGAACGAAAAGGAATGACGTGGGGGTGAAGGAACAAAAGGGGCGATATGGGGGCGATGGAGCGAGAAGTTTTGGGGACACTTTTGAGACTTTTTCGTACAGTGAATGGCTGCCTATCTGTCGTACAAAAACATCAGATCGCTCGCTATTAGTGGATTGAATTGTGTTTTCAAATGTTCCTCCAGCTAGCTTCAGTACAGAACGCCGTACATATGTAAATACACATTGCTTATCTTCATGCGTGTTGTGCAGCAGCCTCTACCTCTACAGTGGCGCGCCATTAGCCAGAATATGGGAGATATGGGGAAAAGACTGGAAATAAATTATTTGCATCGATATGTCCTGATAAACAATTTTAAAGAAAACAAAAAAAGTGTTTGCATAAATTGAAGAATTATTTCCCATGTTGTGATTGAGAGGTTATGTTGGGGGAGGGGGGGGCGATGACAACTTCCTCATTGGCTCAAGGGGACGATTCGTTCAAAAAGGTTAAGAACCACTGAGCTAGTTCGTTTTTCTGTGATCTAATAATATTTTTCACAAGTATTTTGGTTTTTTCCTTATTTATCTTTAGGCCTGCCATTTCACCATATTCACCCAGTACTTCCATTAGCCTTGTCCCTGATTGTAAAGGTCCTTCAAGTATGAAAACAAGATTGTCAGCAAAAGCTTGCCATTTAAAAATTTCTCTCTTAATCTTTAAACCAGCGGTTCTCAACCTGTGGGTCGCGACCCCATTTGGGGTCGAACGACCATTTCATGGGGGTCGCCAAACAACGCGATCCGCCATTTTTTCCACCATTTTTTCCCCTTTTCCTTAGCTGTGCTACTCCCTCTTATTCTATTTGCTTTCGAAAGCCAATAGAATAGACTCTCTTGAACAGAGTCTAATTCTATTGGCTTTCAAAATCCAATAGGAATTGTCCAGGGCTGTCTCTGCCCTGCTGAGCCCGCCAAAAGCCCCAGTCTGCAAACGGTGCTGCAAGGGGAACAGTCTGCAGAGCTTCCCTCCCTGTTGAGCAACTAAAAAGTAAGTAAAAGAGGGCCGGGGGTGGGAGGTGGGAGGCCGGTGGATGCAGGGAGGGTTGCTGGCACGCGTGGGGCCCAGCAGGTGCCTTACCTGCCTTGGCTGGGCCAGCTGGTGGCCCAGCCGGTGGTCGCCCTGCGCCGCCGCTGCTGCGGCCGCCCGGGAGCACCTGGGGCTGCCTGCCACCGCCCCGAATGGCCGGCGGCCAAGGTAAGCCTAGCGGGGCAGTGGCGGGTGCAGGGAGGGTTGCTGGCACACGTGGGGCCCAGTGGGTCCTTACCTACCTTGGGCTGAGCCAGCTGGTGGCCCAGCCGGTGGTCGCCCTGCCTGCCGCGGCCGCCCGGGAGCATCCGGGCCTGCCTGCCGCCGCCCTTGCCGGCTATGCCTCAGCCAGCGCAGGGGGCAGCACCGCGGTGCATGCTTATGACCGGGTCGCCGGTATAAAAAGGTTGAGAACCACTGCTCTAAACCTTTAATATACTCATCCTTCCGAATTATTCTATTTAGTACCTCCAGGGATAGTATAAACAGTAGGGAAGATAGCGGGCAACCTTGCCTTGTGCCTTTTTGGATTTGGAAGTTTTTTGTAGTTTCTCCATTAATTATCACTTTAGCTACCTGTTTGGAGTAAATCGCTTTGAACATGTTTATGAAATTCTCCCCAAAGTCCATGTATTCCGATTGATTTAACATAAAGTCCCATTTCACATTATCAAATGCCTTTTGTGTGTCAAGAAAGATTAGTCCCATTTGTTTTTCATTGTGGACTTCGTAATATTCCAATACGTCCAATATAATCCTAACATTGTTTCTTATATATCTTTTAGATAGAAAACCGTTTTGATCCGTATGCATGAATTTTACTAAGAATCTTTCAAGACGTTTAGCCATTATGGCCATGAAAATTTTATAGTCTGAATTTAATAATGAAATGGGCCTGTAATTTTTAATGAACACTAAATCTGAGTTGTCCTTGGGGATCAAAGTGATAGTTGCTTCTTCCCATGAGATTGGAGTCTTCGCATTCTTCAGAATCTCGTTAAATAGATCTATTAACACTGGACTTAAGAGATTCTTGCATTATTTTGTATATTTCTATTGGTAAACCATCCGGACCTGGGGCTTTATTATTTTTTTGTTTCTTGATTGCCTCAAATAGTTCCAAGGGTGTTATCTCTTTAACATATTTTTAGTCTCCGCTGGTAGATCAGCTAATTGTAAATATTTTAATATGTCATCCTTGTTTTTCCGTTCTACATCCTCATATAAATTCTTATAAAACTCATAGGCCACCGTTTTCTTCCTTTCATTCTGGTAAACCATCTCTCCTTTTTCATTGTAGTTTGTTAATCCTCTTTTTATCATTATGTTTCTTTATCCTGTAAGCCAACCATCTACCTGATTTATTCACATTTTCAAAGAAATTTTGTTTGGTACATTTTATTTGTTGCCCCAGTTCTTCCTTTTCAATAATATTTATCTTATGTTTAATTAAATCTATTTGTTGCTTCAGGTCATGCATTTGTAGTTCATTTTGTAGATTTTCCTCTACTCTACTAAATTCTTCTTCAAGATTTCTTTGTCGCTGTATTTTAGTTTTATTTTCCCTCGCCATGTAAGCAATTGTGACACCTCTCATGTAGGCTTTGGCTGTGTCCCATAAGTTTTGAGAATTTGTGTCTTCCTTTTTATTCATCTGGAAGAATAGGCCCATTTGCTCTTCTAATATCAATTTAAATTCGTTGTGGTTTAAAATTGCTCTTTTTAGAGTCCACCTCCTCATTTTCTTTAGGGCAAAACATCTTGAATGAATTACCTCAGATGGACTAACTTAAGAGAATGCATCCAAAATTTGGGGCCCTTGACTCTCAAACTTCGGCAAATTTTGTAAATCATTTTACGACATAAATATTAAAGCAGTTTATGACATAATACAAAATGTCATAAAACTTTTCTGTGCTGTTTGACTGCTATAACAGTTCAAGGAATCTTGTCATGAAATATATATGAAATTATGACCAAATGGAGACCCGTGGTCTAGTAATAAGCTTTTGACAAAGCTTTAGATAATTAACTGCATTTTCTCAGTTTATATAATATAGTGAACTATTAACTTCATTAATATAACCTAACAAATAAAAAGTAGTTGGCTAGTTTGTGATTCATTAACCTATGTATTAAGATTAATCACTTTTCCTTCTTATCAATTTCTCCTGTATAGAAAATGTACAGTATTCCTAACTTGTACAGGCTGGAAGAATGTTATGCAGCAACTAAAAAAAAAAGTGTTTTACAGCGATCCATGGTAAGTGTGTACCTGCCAAAGTCAATGCAACCAAGTAACACGGCTGCCCTCTATTGGCCATTCCTAATTTCCAGAATTTAACTTTTTATTTATTTGCATGTGATAAAAGGTCCCCTTGAGTTTGCTTGAATGCATGTAAATTCACCGCTGCAATAGACTTAGTACTCTGAGGATACAGCCAGCAAGCAGAGTGTGAATTCTGACATGGTCTTAGAATTAACACTTGAAGTCAACTATCAGTGTAAGGTATGTTTGGATGCAGCCTTTAGTATGCCGTAACTATGACTCAGTCACAGATATTTAACAGGATGATCTAATCTTCTGATTAGGCTTCTGTGGTTCCCAAGAGGTGCATTCACTTTATTTCATCTTTCACAAGTGACATGATACACATCAATCACCATAAAGTCACAGCAGGTCAAAAGAAGAAGAGAAATCAATACTGAAGTGCTTTCGAGTAAGATTATTTCTTGACTGGTTTTTCTTTATGCCAATGAGTACCCATAGCCTTCCAGTCTATGTTTTAATCTGTCATCAGACATTAAAACCTCACCTTGTTAACAAATAAATCAAAGCTTTCAAGCTCAGCCTTTACATAATGGGGAAGTATCAAAGTTTACTTAGAAGACCCAAATAATTCAATGGACCTTATTCCCTAACAAGACAAATTATGGTCTAAATTCTAAATGAAATATTTTAAAACAAAAATATAAATAAGATTAGAAATATTTTCTTTAACGCCTATAACTTATTTTTAAAGAAATAAGATAAAGGCTAAGGAAAAGAGAAGGAGATTTAAAAAAACCCATTCATTTCTGGAGAGATAGTCATGTTATTTTTTTTTTTGCAGTAAATGAAAAAAGGAGTTTTTTTAAAGATGCACAAGTTTGTCATTGTATATACTTTTCATGAATTAGAGGCAATCCATGAATGTTTTTAATAAATGTGAGAGTCTTCAATCCCCCCCTCCTTTGTTGTGTTTTATCATTCAGTTGCTCACACCTGTATTGTAAATTGCAGATTGTGAGTTGCTGGGTCCCCTTGAACTGAAATAGTTACCAAGTTATAAAGTGTAGCTACCATTGCCAGACAGACTTAAATCAGTACAGAATATGTTTTATTCATTAAGCTAAGAACTCAGAGCTGTAGAGGTAGAGCTGAGATGCAGAAATTTTTGAATGTTTCATAAAAAAACACAGATGACCTGAACTAGAAATAAAATCTCTTCTATAATGTTAACTATAGATGTAGTTGCTTTAGGTACATATTTGCAATGCCCTATCCTGCAGAAAATGTCTCTATATTGTTATTTAAGGCTCTGTTGATTTAGATCACCAGATGTTCCACCACTTTGTGGAGGAAGAAATACAAGGTAAGATCTTGTTCAACAATATTCTCTAGGGTAGAAATCAGTTGTACCCACCCACTGCCATTCAGAGGAGAGACTCCTATAAAATTAGCAAATTTTGTTAAATGATGTACAGTACTTAATATGATACAGAAAAATTCCTGCTAAATAAGAGATACTTTTAAAATGAGTTCTTACTTAGTATTCAACCTGAAATCCAACTTTTGGAGGGAAAAACCGCATATTCTGCCTGGGAGAAATCTGAGAAATAACTAGCAATCAGTCAACAACACTTATTTGATGTTATTTTTTAGCAATTCACATACAATTAATTGCCAAGTAAGACAGTATTTTCTAGACAAGTAGGCACAATTGCCATTGTGAATCAGAATGAGGTGGTCCTTGGCATTCTGAATTGTCCATTTATAGTCATGGGGCAAAATAAATATTTACAAGTGATTCAGTACTGTAAAGGATCAAGGATACTGCAGGACTAACAATCAGTATGAAGACCATTTCCATGCCAGTGGAACCCACAGTTTTCTTTCTCTGGCACCACACCCCAGATTTCACACAGCCCTGAGAATTAAAGATTTCCAGAGGATTTCAAGAATGTATGGTAGTAATTCTTGAAAAGCTTTGATTTCGGCTACGTGTCATTGCTCTCACTTGCTTGAAAAAGATGAAAACTGATGTAAACTGAAGTCTTTATGATTGGGTTTTATAATCCACTTCTGAAGACTTGTGAAACAAAAATATTTCAACAGCAAGGGAATCTACAATCTTCAGTTAAGTTGCATTTTTTACCATTTTAAATCAAGAACTCTGTATACTGGAGGCTCCGAGTTCAGGAATAGTTTCCTGGACCACCCAAGGGAATAACAAAGACAGAAATATCATCTCCAGAGCCCAGTTTGTCATTGGCCAGCCTCCAGCCACGATCCTTCAGAACCCCTCTGGATCTCGTTACCAACTCCTGGGCTGCCATGGTATACCTGTAAGAGAATTATTACTATCTATTCACATGAAAATGGCAAAAAATCTAATATATTATTATGAAGTAAGTATTCGTAGGTGGACTATAACCACCTCATCATTTTAATTGCTTGATTGTGAAGAGGAATGAAGAATGGCTTAAAGTTATCCTCTTGCGATTTTAATACAAGCTGGTAGTAGATTCAGCCAGAAAGCTGTTAAGAAATAACAGAAATAATCAGAAGCACTTACAGTAAAATGAATTGAACTATTTGGACTTCATTCAGGGGCCCCAGAGTCTATAATATCATGAAACAAAATACTTTATTCATTTCAGCAAAGGACATGGCAAGGTGGTAAAAGAGGGAATTCCATGTATAGCATAGACTTGGCAGAAATGTGAGCTATTAAAAGCAGCCATGGTTGGCATGCATACTTAATTTTTAATAAGAAAGTTGATCGGGCTTTTAAATCGCCCTTTTAAATCGAGTTTGGAAGAAGTATTATTATAGGTTAAATTATAAAATACCTATTTGGGGGATTCCTAGACATGCAATAGAGGGGATATTGAAGGGGATGAATTTTGGAAAAGTTTCGTATAAAGAATTACTTATATGGTCAGGTAATGACTGGCAATTAAAGTCTTTGGAGGTATTAAGACAAGAGAACATTTTACAGTCACGGTTTCAATATTTACAAATAGTGGACAAGTGGACTTTAGACAAGAAAGTGGGGATAACATTAGGAGATGAAAATCTGATAATACAGATTAAAGATCAGAACAAGGCTCATATAAAAAGAATTTATAATATCTTAATAGAATTGGATTCAGAAATGGAATTGGTTAAAGATTGTATGGTGAAATGGGCTCAGAATATTCAGGAACCAATCCCATTGGATTTATGGGAGACAATTTGGATTAGAAATGTTAAATTTACAGAGGCTCAAAATTTAAGAGAAAATTTTTATAAAATGTTTTATAGGTGGCATTTGGATCCTAAAAAGTTATCTTGTATGTATCTTAATTTACAGCCCAAATGTTGGAGATGTGGTAGTTCTGATGTAACTTATTTTCATATTTGGTGGACTTGTAAAAATATTAAGGCCTTTTGGATTATGATTTGGTGGAACATTCAAAATATTTTTAAAAGGAAGATAAAGTTTAGTCCTCAACTATTTTTATTAGGGATTTTTGAGGATTTTGATGTTAAAGAAACTATTTTAATGTTGAATTTAATTACAGCAGCAAGGTTATTGATAGGTCAATATTGGAAGAAAGATTTGTTGCCTACATTAGAAGAATGGAATTTAAGGTTTCCAATTTGGCAGAAATGGCTAAAATTTCTGCTTATTTAAAGGATCATAAACAAGAAAGATATATTATAGTATGGAGAAGATGAATAGATTATATTCAGATTAAATATGGAACTGAAAAGTTCCATTTATTTTATAATTAAAAAATAAGTATTATTAATAATAAGGTTTAAAGGGAGTTAAGGGTTAAGTATGATATTAATTGTTGTACAAATTGTTAAACTTGTTTAGCTTATGATTAATATATTTGTTAACTTAATTAGATTATGTTTCATGTGTTTGATATACCCTGTATTTGGTTCCGGGAAGTGGGGGGGTGGGGAGTGGGTTATTGGGTTTATTATGTAATTGTTAATAAAACTTTTTAAATAAAAAAAAGCAGCCATGAATTGGCTCTGTATTTTTACAAAAAGCAGAATCAAAGGCTTATAAGCAAACAAATAATTAAAAATAAACAGCAAGAAGCGTTTCCTTTCCTTAGCCCTATCCCATATTTGAAAGACTACCCATTTATTAATCTGTTTACACATGAAAAGCTGAGAAGAAACTTCAAGATGGAAAAAAAGGTATGGAAGGTTGCCCTCATGAATGGAAGATTGGGAGAAAAATCTGCCTATTTTTCTTCGCAAAAATGCATTCCCCAAAAATTGCAATTCTACCCATGAGATCCTAAACATGTGACTAACCTTGAAAATAGTACTGAACAGAATTCTGAATATAGGTAATCCTCAACTTATGAATGTAATTACTTCTAACTGTTGCTAAGTGACTGATCATAAGTCATGATTCTCTTGTGGAACATTGCGGACTCTAGAACATTGCATGCTCTATTTATATATAAAATGTAATTGCATCCAAGTTACATACAATTAATTCAACATGGTGGCCTGATAAGCAAAGCAAAGAATACAAACTAAGAATGACAGTAAGTGTTCAGAAAGGACCATTCTAGCCAGTGCACAGTGTCATCCCCAACACTTGAAAGAAAGGAAATACAACTCTACTTACCTGCAAGGATCATTGGGCTCATAGCCCATCAATACATCAATGACCACAGTGGCCACCTCTTGATCACTAGTGACATCCCAGAGGCCATCAGTGCCCAGCACCAGCACATCATCAGGGCAGTGCTCATACTGTGTGAGATCATAAATGTGCACCTGCAGATAAACACGAAGATACAACTTTGTTGCTATGAATTTGCATTGCGAAAAAAGGTACTTAAGGGATCACTATTATTATGAACCTGCCAATTAAAAATGGTAGGAATTCCCATACGGAATAATGGAAATAAACTAAACAAAATAAATTCCCAAACTAAAGACAATGCACATTTTTAAGGCAATAAGTAAAAAGATAGCGTTGTACAGCATACTTTACATGAGAAATAAACCTAAAATTTAATAAATACTTAGATTAAATAAAATAAAAACTTTACTTTACCTGTACTGATGAGAAAAACAGTGCAAAAATACACAAAACCATTACAGAAACTAAGATAAGACTGCAAGTGGATGTGCCCAGGGCAAAAAGCTATCATTGTGACCAACACATGTCCCTTTGTTTCGGCTAAAAGGGTAACTAGACACGAGGCAAGTGAAACCAACAAGTTCTAGCTTGCACATTGAGTACCAAACAAATGAGTAATGGGACAAAAATTTCTCATCAAAATACATTGCGTACCAAATTCAATGAGTTTCAAAGCAGTTGAGTATCGAGGTACTGCTGTATTTATTTTCAACATTTCTATACCGCTTCCCATTCAAAGAAATCCAGAAGTAATTAAAGAATGTACTTTGTAACAGAAAGAAAACACAAATATTCTGATATACTGTTCTTAAAACAAATAAAGGGAAAGCTTATCTTTAAGGCCAGGGAAGTTAGATCTGTCTCTCACACCAGGGATCTACAAGGGGGCATGTCATGGTATCACCAGACTTACTGGTGACCACAGTTTTCAACCAGATTATCTATTTATAGAGGACTTAATCTGGCTTCCTCATTAACTTGGCTTGTTAGGAGGTCATAAAAGGTGATCACATGACCTCAGGACACTGCAACCATCAAAAATATGAATCAGTTGCCAAGCGTTTGAATTTTGATCATGTGACCATGAGAATCCTACAATGGTCGTAAGTCTGAAAAATGGCCATAGTCACTTTTTTCAGTGTGGTTGTAACTTCAAATGGTCACTAAATGAACTGTTGTAAGGGCTGCCTGTATATCTCAAGGTCCAGAACATTAGTTTTGTTGTGCTCACCTCTGGAACGCAAGATAAGAAAGGTTTAATGTGGATGTTGGAATTGTAAACTTTGAGATCATGGTCTCCTAAGCCTCGAGTTACCCCAATGGTTGCCATCATTCGAGCCTAAGCAGAAAAACAAGTAGCTGATAAAGACTTGATGTAATACGAAGACATTTATTCAATTCTACATTATTAGAAACAAGATTTGTTAGTGCAAAACATTGGAAGACTAGATATCTTTCACTGAATTAGTAGTATTTAAAAGTCTGAAAAGTTGCTCTATCTAAAAAAAAAATCAAAGCATCAAAAAGCATTAAGAAACACAACAGAAGAAAAAATGTTTTTCAATTTGGTCACCATACATTTACTTTATCAAGAATGTTTTTCTTAAGTAACTACTTTCAGCTGTACAAAAGTCATTTTGAAAAGCAGTATTAGAAATGGATATTTAAAGTTTCATATTAATTTCTTAAAAACAGAACTGTATATGTCTTCATGTGTATACTTTCCTTTTAGTTTTCCCATTTATTTTTCGTCTTAATATTTTTTTAAGTTGCTAGTTTTCCCTTTTTCTTTCTTCAGTAAAAAATGCAAACAATCCAAATGCTAGATGCATCTATTTAGTATCAAAACATTAATCCCATTTTAAAAAAAACCTGTTGACTCTAACACTGTAACATAAACCTGGCTTTTATTTAAGTGATATAGATGTGCATAACCTGGTTTCAATTCCATTATCCTTCAACCAACCCTCCCCCCCCCACCCCATGCTCATTTAATCTAACATTTTCTCTGTTCACTGAAAACGAATAGTACAAAGACTCCCATATTAGTTTTAGCACTTACTTTTTTCCCTTCTCCATACACAAGTGGAAACTTCAGGTCATCTTCTTCTATCCTTTTATATGCCCTAATTAGAAAAGGAAACATACACAAAGTAAGGTCATGCAGAAGGTTATCGTCGCCTCAGATATGTTAGATTTATAAAACTATCAGTTGCTGAAGGAGAAAATGTCCTGGTAAATCTCTTCTACTCACAGCTAGAAAAAAAGGTTGAGGTCAGCAGTATTTCATTTATCTCCAATATATGCGGGTAAAACACACATGCAGGTAGTCCTTTGAACAACTGTTCAAAGTTATGACAGACTTCCCCAGAGCTACTTACAACCTTATTTCAAAGTTCCAGCAATCACACATAAGGCACCCCCACCTGTGATTACACGATTGCATTTTGGGCACATGGTAACTGGCTCACATTTATGACCTTTTGCAGCATCCATGGTCACACAACCATGATATTTTTGGGTGAGTTTTGCTAGTTACTGGCATTTACTTCCAGCCAAAACTGCCCACTGGGCATTATGGATTTGTTTAACAACTGCAGCGTTCACTTAACAACAGCACCAGTCACTGAACAACTGCTGCAAAAAAGGTTTTAAAATCAGGCATGGTCACATGGTGACCTGCTTAACGACTGCCATGACTTATGACCATAATTTCAGGCTCAATTATGGTTGTAAATCAAGGACTATCTGTATGCTGCTTTCCTCCCGCTGTTTTCTTAATGAAACTTTTTTTTTTAAATCATTGGCAATCTTCCTCAGTCCTCTCTTATATCTAATCTTAATTTCATGACAGAAATGAAGCAAGAGGGGGGCCTTGTAACATCTGAATGGCCTATGATGATAGAAACTAATTTATCTTCTTTTTTGATAATTGAGAATCAGCATGCTTTATTTCAAATGAAAAGAGAAGTTACCAGCCGTTCATGTTTTGGTCCCTATATAACATCTTCTTTCCCACTTCCTTCTGTTGGATCCTTCGAGGAAACTCAAGGTAAGTAAACTCATTTCCCAGTAATTCAGGCCTCAAATAGCCCTATGAGAGAAAAGAAAAAGCTCAGCTGACAGAATTTTTGGATCTTTTCCATCAAAATAACAGAAAGCCAAACTGCCCCATATTCCACAAGTCAGCACTAAATAATAGAATCCCAGAAGGGAACAAACATATATAAAGTAAAGCAGGGACCAATTCCTGAGATGTTAAAATTTACTTAAGGGCCTTTTTTCTCTATGTACTGAACTACTACATAGTGTACAAGTCTAACTGAAAATGGAAGGTCAAAGCATTCATTCTTCACCTAAATGCAAGCTAAAGCATGAGTAACTGAACCTGTCTCATGCTCAAATGAGTCATAAGGCTATTTCCAGACTAAAGGAGAAACAGAAGTTGCAACTAATAAGACACATTTTATAAGAAACAATGGCACAAATATTTGGCATTGGAGGCAACAAGATTTCAGTTCAGTAGTCCAGATCCTGTTCTCTGCTCAGACAGCTGTCATTTTAATGCGAATTCCAATTATGGGAATATCTCTATCATATGCATCTGCACATAGACATCTACCTACCTACTTGCTACCTGTATGAAGGGGAACCCTGCATTTCAAAGATAGTTGTTCTTGCTCTAGCTATCCTAGGTTGGTCTTATTCTTCAGAGCTGATTCCATCCTTTCCTGTCAATATCACCAAAGAGGCAATTATTTACCAGGCTAGCTATGGAAGGCCCAAAGGAAGTGATTAAATTCAATAGTCAGGCAAGAATGGAGCACAGAGCCAAAAAACAGAAAGATTAAGAAACATTGGCTCAATCAGATCCTAAACATATGACCTTTAAGGAGGCAAATTTTACCCCACCTCTCCTGTTAAGTCTGACCAAAAAAAGTGCAACGGAAGAGCTAGGCCACTTTAAAAACAATATTCCCTATACACCCTAAGAAGAGTAGCAATTGAGGAGTGAGGCATGGGGAAAAGAAATTCAGGAAAGAAATCGGCAGAACCGGCGTGGTTTTTATTTTGTGCTACAAAAAACACTGCTACTGAAAATTACAACAGGCTTTGCTCTTTCAAGAACTTGGATCACATTGATAAAGCATAATAGACTGTCAGCTAGGCACAACAAATGACTTAAGGTATAAATGGGTTTTGGCATAAAATGAACTGCTTCAGCCTGCGACAAAATACAAGATGGACTCCCTGTTGCTCAGTTTCTTTACATAGCCTACTAAAGAGGATCCCTTACCCAAAACTATTTTTTCTTTTCCAAGGCACTTGGAAGCCATTTCAATGGAATAGCAGATAAGATTCAGTCTGATGTTTTGCCAAAGAGGTAGAGTTGAAGGCTCAAAACATGAGCCAGCAACACCTTAGGCTGTTCATGCTTCATAGATTTTGTCTTAACTGTAAATTTGCCTTTCATCCCAGGAAGTAAATACTGTCTAATGTTTTGCATAAATGAATGCATCTCACTGAATTACAAGGCAAATTCCTGTTATATTCAAACAAGCACAAAAATTTAAAAACTGCTCCTTAGAGAGAAAATATATGTGTATGACTATGACAAGGGTGTTCTCTTACAATTAGTACTTCTGCCCTCTATCACTTCTCAGTTTCAGACTAGCCCCAAGCTGCTTTCTTTTGAAAATATGGTCACAAGATTTTAAAATGCATTGCATCATAATTCCATTTTTCACTGCTATTAAAAGTGAGACTGGGTAGTTGCAGTAGACAAGTTAGGGAAAACAGATACTTGAGGACCACTAGATTGTTCTTCAACCTTCATCTGGAGCCTACCCTTTCTCTTTGAATATTGTTAAATCTTTTTATTAATTTTATGTACACAAGCAAAGCATGGCATTATTTTTACTGAACAGAGTTTAAAGCAATTTGGAGATCACTATTCTATAAAGGCAAGAACTCACTCCACCAGGCACTCTGGCCAAAGGAGAAATTTGCAATTATATGAATTCCAAATTTAAGTCAGTGTTGACATCTTTGATTGCCTGGAGAAGTCAGGCAAGATTTTGGAAGTGGCTTACAACTGCCTCATTCACTGAGAGAGTGACCCAAGGTCATACAATTGGCTTTGTGATTAGAACTCAGAGCCTCCCTGTTTTTAACCTGATATCTTAAGCATTACAACAAACTGGCTACCTTTGTGAGTGCCATTAGGAATGTAAAAATTGAGAGGAGAATTTAACCTTTTTCCTTGTGTGATCTCAGCAATGGAATTTCCCGATGTATAGGGAAATAGGATTTCTTCCAGGGCAATATGTATATATTTGCAGGGAAAATGTCCATCACTCTATTCTGTATGAGAAATGCTGCTTGGACTTCTAGTTGTATTTTTTTTTTAAAAGTATTAATATTATAAAAAAGTTGTTTTGAGTTCATCTCTCTGTCATACCTTCATTAAGAGAGCTGGAAATGTGGAAATAAGATAGATAAGAGTATATGTGTATATGTTAACTGCAGTAGCAGGACAAATGGTACAATCTTCCGTTGATTGTAAAATCTCTAAAGTCTCTCAGATTGTCCTGGGGTATTACAATTTAGTAGAGAGGCTATTAAATGTTTTAAGTATTATTTTTGATATATTTATTTGTTCTCTAAGTGCTGTAACTCAACCGAATCGTCAACACAGGAGAAAAAAACAAGACTGATTAATGTTCCTTCTTTAATTAATTAATTTTTATAAAATTAATTTTAATACAATTAAATTAATTAATTAGATAATCAATGTTTTAGAAACAGTGTTTCTCAGCATTGGCAAATTTAAGATGTATGGATGTCAACTCCCAGAAGTTTCAGCTGACTGAGGAATTCTGAGAATTAATGTCCATACATCTTAAAAGTTGCCAGTGCCAAGACACACCACTTTATAATAATTACAATTCAGCTCCCACATCTCAACTATTTCTTTAGAGTATTCTGAGATTGGCAGAATTGTGAGTTTCTAGAACTCTATTTTAAAACTTAGCTTTTATTTTGCAATCAATTATTACAAAACAATATCTTATTATGGGCATCCATGGGGAAGGAAGGAGGAGCAAACAAAAAACATACACACATAACATTATCCCACAAATGTCACAACTTATGCACTTGAGTCATATGTCAAGACTCAAGTATCTAATTAAAGTATTTACATGATCAGATCACTGTGTATATATCATTGTTTTGGATTCACTGTGGTTTGCTGACGTTGCTGCTAATTCTTATACATTATACGTTACAGTCCTTATACATTATAAGGTTGTAAAAATATGCATCTGTTCAATAAGGAAAATAAATACTAGACACAAATTAATAGTACATTGAGAGTCTTTCTTTACTATTTACAATAAATTCACCCACATCATATTCCAAATGGAAATTGAAAATTCCCTAAGCTCCAAAGATGATTGGCCATGGTGCATGCTAGATAATGTTGCATAAAGCATAAGTGTAATAACCTTGAGCGAAAAAAGAGGTTTGCCTTTACTAGTTTTTCAATTTAGGTTTGCAAGGCAAACCTTATTTTAGTTAACCACTATGAACTCTGATGATCTTGTTTGTACAGAATTGATTTCTCAAGGATATACCTGCCAAGGTTGTTGTCAGTGGTGATAGATTAAAAGTATATCATATAGAAAGAAAGTTCTTCCTTACTAAAAACTGTAGCCTTTGCCTCTCTGTCTCTGGAGTAAACTCCCTGGACATTGGAATGATTTCCCCATTACGGATGACAATGGCCCTGCAATGAAACATGCAATGATGACATTAGAGAGAAAGCGAAGAGAGAGATGGCAAAGGAAGTGCAAGCAGCAGATACAAAAGAGGGCAAAGAGAGGCAGGGTTAGGTAAGTACCATCATTGCCATACAGAGAGAGAGCCTCTGGGAAGGATATGGCATCTGGGCAAATAATGGCCAGGGATCTATGTTTCCAGATACTCTTAAGGTTTCCTTGCCTGTTTCTTGTTGATGGAAGAGGATAATGTTATATTACGCCTGAAAGCCCAGAAACCTTCTGATGAGAGTTTCCTTCTTTCCCTTTTTCTGGATGAAATTGTTTGCTGTGGCTTCATTCTATTTTATTTCTAGAGTTTAAAGTTTCCCTACCATATTCTAAAGACCCAAAATAGATTAAAATATTTATTATTGTATGCCCCAAATGACTCTATTGTATAAGCAAGTTGAAGTGATTTGCTGATGTCCTGTCAATGAGACTCATGAATAAGAGGAGATATAAACATATCATTCCAGTAGTCGTGCACTTATGCAGGGAAAACGGGAACTGGGTGAACGGGACCCTCAGACATAGTTACTAAAGACTATTTTCCCCATGTAGCATGAAGACATATCTAATAATATAAGCTCTGGCTCATATTGGTATAATATGCTAGCTTAGAAACTATAAAGGTCAAGGAAATGCTAGGTAGCCTTTTTCTTTAACATTCCTATTGGGTTAACGCCAAATCCTAGGTGTGACTCAAGAACATCCAGAGAAAACACTGACATAGCATATTGAAAAGGAGCAGCCATAAAGACATATTTAGATGTCCTTATATTCTACAGTAACAGTTAAGCCAAATTACTAAGCAGTGTTAGTTACCTGCTCTGAGAGAAAAGATGTTCCTTGTTCAGACAGATAAGGAAGCAAAGAAGGAGAAAAATCAGTCTAAGAAACTAGGGTTCAGAAATGGTGCTGAAAGGATGGAGGAGGATTGTGAGAAGAAAAATATGGCTAGAATAATGGGTCACATCATCCAAACCCAAGTGCATGGATATTCTGATCAAAATATAATGTAAAATGTGGATTATCCATACACACATGCACACACGCACACAGGGATTTTATTTTCATCTTTTGGTAATGTTACATATGGAATCTAGCACCTAAAATGATTGCCAAGCCCTGTGCTTGGCTAATTATCTCTCAGATGTAATGACTAAGCAAAAACAATTAAACACAATTATGGCTTTACACAATATCTGTTACAGCATTTTACTGTGCTTCTTGGGTTGGAAGTCTTCATCTTAAACTACCAATATTTCCATATTTGATAATGATATTTAAGAGCCTGATTTTATTCAAAAATTAAAACAAATTCTAATTGATTTTTCTGACTTGATAAAAAAGTTGATCTCACTCTTGAAAAAATAACTTGTCAAAAGTATGTGTGTACTGTTTCCTATTAGTACAAGCTCTCATTTCAATGACCACAATGAGAAATAACAATAGTGTATTTTTCTCTGTCTTGTTATCCACTTGTGTAGCCTTCACCAAATGATACTTTACTTGTAACTCCCATCATCCCCAGATAGTAATGTACACAATACACCTAAAGGTTATCATTTTGGCACAGAGAAGAAGGTATTGTTATTTTCAATTCGGAATCCCAAAGAATTTGGATGCAGATAGAAGACTCAATGAGGAAACAGAGCATCTATTAATTAATTCCAAAAGTAATCCAGAATCCTTAATCTAATTAGCATCAATGCTTCATTTTGATTAATACTCCAGTAAAATTTATTTTACTGACTTAAGTTCTGAACATTTTAAATCAATAAAGGTTCTTTAACAAGCACTTAAATTATTATTTGATGAGTACCTAAATATGGTGATACTCTAGATTTAGGACTGAATCACTAAAAACAATTAAAACAACGGGCACTGAATCAATGCAGTATCTACAATAAAGACTAAAATAACTTTAATGGTTATTCTTTAATTATCCATAATTTTGAAGGTGTCTCAACAATAGAAGGAGAAATGACATGACTCTTCTAGCTCAGGTTATAACAAAGAAACTCCATAATTTGGAACTCCAAATGAATAATCGCAATTCAAAACTGAATTTCCCTCTTGTAGCATTCAGGATATGTTGCAAGAGCATATTTATATTCATCAATTTTTAATTTTTCCATCTTAACATTCAGATCACAAAAAAATATTCTCTGATTTGCTTGGGATCCATAATTATCTCATACCCAAATCTTAAGCGAGCTCCATCATTGGTACCACTACACTATCCTTTTGAGCACAAGTCAATTGACTCTTTGGTTGACAAAAAGTATAGTCCTTAATTCTGAGGAGTTCTGTCCAACTTTTATTACTATTGACAGTGACTGCCTTTATTCAGCACAAGTTTTATTAATTTATTATATCCATAGCCCATTTTTTGCTATAATATTCAAGACAACTATTGGACCCTTAATGGTTTCCTATCCACAATTGATCAGACTTAGCATTATAGTGTCAGATCATTTCCTGAAAGCAAAATTTGATCTCCTGATCATACACAGCATCACTAGAAACACAGCATCATATATCTGTTTATAGCTTATTGGATTAGTCCCTGCGGTTTTCTTGACAAAATTTTTGGAAGTGTCTTATTATTGTCTCCTTCCTAAGGCTGAGAGAAAGTGACTGGCCCAAAGTCACCCAGCTGGCTTCATGTCTGAAGCAGGATGAGAACTCAGTCTCTCAGTTTCTAGCCTGATGCCATAACTATTACACCAAACTGGCTCTCATTAGTTATATACTTATCATTAATACACACTCTCTTAAGGACTGGTGTGTGTGTGATATTAATGGTGCATGAACAGAAGAAAGACAAATATTTAAACTGTTGTTGAAATTTTGTATACATTATAGGTAAAATAACTGACCTTGACCAGAAGGACTCTTGATTAAATTCTACCAGGCAGTAAAGAAATGTCATTTTTGCAATGAATACATGTTTTGGACAGTTCTAATTTGTCAAGGAGCCAAAACATTCTCCAGCCCACTTACCTACTATCACCAGCGTTGGCCACATAAAACTTCCCCAGAAGATAAACCACAGCCAGGGCACAGCAGCCTCCAGTTGCTTGTCTGGTTACCCGTTCTTGCTCAATTTGATTGTCCTGAAAAGACAGAAAAGCAAAAGTACAGGTGGAACACGATCTATCATATCAGAAAAGAAGGCAGAACCGTACTATATGTAATCACAGATCTTCCCCACCTTCCTATATTAATAAACTAGAATGTTCTCAGGAAATAGATATATAAACAACAGTTGCAGAAACAAGGTAGTCAATTAGACATTACCTTCAAATTTAACAATTACAACTTTATGCATTGACAAATTCTTGTTTCATATATCAAAAGTCTATTTTAAATAGAGAAATGACATTGTATTCGCATTATGCTGTACTAGGATTTGATTTATCTTGAATCATTTACACCAAGCTTATGTTTTGTTAGAGCAGAGGCCCTTAATCACAATCAGTAGAAAAGTTTCAACTATGGCTTTATCTAATTTACAAAACTGTACAAATAATTAGTATAGTGGGCAATTAAGCAGTCATTAATTCTCCAGGAAAATAAGATGATATGCAAAAACAGTTATAAATAGGAACTATTCCTGCAGCAACATTTCCAACATTCCTTTTTTTTCCCATCCACACAAATGCACAATGACTTTTTTTTAAAGAAGAGTATACCTCATATTCTGGGTGGCTATGTTTTGCCATCATCTGTATTTTTCATACCTTTAGAATGGTGGTTAATCTGTGACTATCCCTGTTTGCCAAAGGTCTAAGTAATTGCTAACTTAATCTTTTGTCTATTAGGACTTATCAGTTATCCTGGTCTGAAATATGTGAAAGGGAGAGAATACTAATCAAAAGAAAGCTAATTAGCAAGCACAGTTCAAATATCTGAGGAAACAAACAAAAAAGAAAAAAACCCTCTCTTAGTAAATATCTCTATATAATTTTATGAAGAGGTGGGGAATCACCAATAACATTTCAGTACCTATACTAAATTATAGTTTACAAGATTCTCTAGGGAAGCCATGACAACTGAACTGATATATGAATGCTATATGTTGACAATGTGTCTTTTTCTGTGTATTTTATTCCCCTGAGCAGCATCGAAGACAAGATCTCAAGCTGTGCTACAGAAAAACAGAACAGGCTCTGCTCAGGATCTGCAGATAGATAAGCAAATATCTAGTCAGCCAAAAATAGTCATGGGTCACCATGTCAGTGCCTTAACTGCAAAAGGAAGTGAATGCATATTTTGGGTGGAAGACAGGCAAGCAGGATTGGAACACATCCCTGATCTCCAACTTACATGTCCTTCAGTGGCTAAGGGGCTGTGTGTGTTAATATAAAACTGTTAGTAATTGAGTTTATTTGATTCTGAATATCCTTCACCTATTTAAATCTATGAGACAGGCTACATCTTATATACCCAAGGCCCTTTGCCTGCTTGAAAGGTGAAGCAGATTTTGTTTGTTTATCCTGGCTCTCCTATCTTTGAATGCAACATATCCATTTCATTCCACTTCTGATACAGAATCAGGCATCAATTACAAGGAAGTTCTACCTCAGACTAAGATAACCACATGTCTAGTAGGCAGCTTACATGTATTCCAAAGTCTGTGCCAAGCCAGGAAATTGATTGTAATTCTCTATCTTGGGAGCAGCCTGCCTTCTCCAGCCCATCTTTGTTCTACATACTTACCATCTGTTTGAATGCATTTTCAATGGCTCCCACTACTAAACTTTCATGGAAAACCATCTTTTCCATATGGAAGCGTGGCAAGGCATTGTTTGGGACCTCTCTGTCTTCTTCTGCCAGACGAGCTTTGTTTGGTTCGGTGAGAACTGTCCTGGGTCTCTCTTGTAGGCAAATTGGTGGAGGAGAAGAATCTTGTAAGATATCCACCAAGTCTCGGAGCTGATCACGAATATGGAAATGAAGCAGTTTGGATGCCATAATTGCAGCTCCACTTCCAGCATGTCCATCAAACAAACTCCAGTAGTAAAAATACAGACCTTTGCTGCCCTGCAGAGAGATTGGAAAGAACTATTCTGAAGTAATGCCAAAAGAAAGGAAATTCAAGTTTAAAAAAGTAAAACTGATGAAGCAGCACTTTGGTGAAATTCTGCAAGCTTTGCAGTTTGTGACTGAAGCAACATTCAGCACCTTCTCAGCCAGCTATCAATTTAACCAAACTGCCACCAGTTCAAGGAGGTCCTAATTCCTGGAGTTTATTTTACTGCAAAGGAAGAAGAAAGGGCAGAAAAGGTGATGAAGTAGCAAGGTGATGAAATTTTTGCCTCTAAGCAATGCAATAGGTATCCTATTCATCCAGTGCTCACATAGTTCACAGGCATTATTTTAAATGCCAGCTGCAATAATTCCTGTGACTATAGTGGATGGGAAAGTTTGTGGAACTTTCCCACTGGTTCACAATTCCACTTCATCAAGTAAACAATGTTTGCCAATTCAGGTAAGATCTGTGAAGTAACAACTATTTTGTGTGACCATTACTATTAATCAGCAACTGCGAATCAAACAGTCCTACTCTAAGCTAGAATAAGTTCACATAATGTAGTAAACTATGATTTAGCCATGGTTGAAACTATTACCTGGATTAAATCATTATGAACCCATAAACAATGGCTTGTTTAACCACGATTTACTGAATAATCCATAATAAACTACATTCTAACTGCAAAGCCAAAAACTGTGAGTTATAAGTCACAACAATTGGATTCATGCAACACAGTAAACCAAAAGCAAATAAACTACATTAAAGCTGTGGAAGAAGCTCTGGTCATCCAGTTGCTCACCACTCACTTCTGATTCTCCAGAAATTCCCTTGGGGCCTGGGTTATTTCTCAGGCTGTTTCTTTTTTCCACAAAGACGGCTTCACAACAAGCTTGATCCTCATTATGCTGGCTTTTACCAGCATTTATCACTCTGTTCAGGAAAGAGAGAAACAAACCATCATAGTGTGGACTTAATGATATGAATTTGATTTGATTGACCAACTTCCCTTGTTCTCAGATTCACCTTGCACAAAGATTGACCCCAAATGGGGACAAATGATTCCATTGCTGCTGTTTTTAGTAAACAGAAGCAATTTGAGAGAGGACCTGGCATAGCCATCATGTCTGGGGTTTTTTTTAAACCTAAAAACGGGCCCTGTGGAGTTAGGTGGGTTAATTTTACCTCTAGTCAATGAATGGCTCCTGATGTCTGATTGACCAGCATAGGACCTCTACACCATGAAAAGTGACACCTCTAAACTTATTTCATCAAGCTTATTAATCTCATACTGCCTTCTTTGCTATCCAAACAAAACTCGTGGTTTCAAGCTTTGCTCAAGCCCTTGGGGGCAACCATTGTTTCTGATGAAAAAACCTGATAGAGGACCTCAAAGCCAGCAAATCATGGCTGGCATAAAACTGCCAAACAAAATGAACTTAAACTTTTTATCTTTGTTTTTTTTCAGCTTTGCTACTTCACATCATTGCAAAACATAGCTTGGCAGCAGGAAGTTGTAGAAAAATAAAACAGGAAACATTATCCGGGCAGGAATTTGTAACAGTACAGTTTGCAAAACACAAATAGTATATGATGTTGAGGATGCAAGTTAGTATAGAACTCAGGAGAGTTTCAAAATAACCTTGACAGGCACTTCCCCTCCCCTCTCCACCCCCATGGGATGACAGGAAAACCTTCAATATGTTTCCAACAAATTTTTAAAAAGCATTAAGAAACTAAGAACTATTATAAGTTACAGTCCGTTGCAGGGGCATCAGCTACAATTGTGCAAAGCCTCATTCCTTTTATGCCTGTTATGCATATTAAAAGGAGGCGAAACTTTGCATGTAAAAGTCATTACCTCCCCCCATCCCTACTCTACATATACATTTAGACAAATTCATATCTGCACAAACATATTTCTTTTCACGTGTTTCAAACCAATTAAATGTGTATAAAGAGCATTTAGGCCAGCTTAGCTTCAGCAGACATGCTACATCATGTGCTTTCTAACATCTGATTTCAGTGTTTGATTGGAGCTCATCTTTTTATGTCAAATATGCAACTACAAGGTGTCCATTTTTCAGCCAGTTACTACAACTATATCAAAACTCCATGACAGTTTTGATCTGCAGTAATTAAAAGGCAAAAATAGCCCTCTTCAGGTAGTCTTTCTCTCTTTCACATGCATATATGAAAAGTAAACAGCATGGGAGAGAATTTTATATTGTATAAGAATAATCACAATATTGAATCCATGTTCGGTTTATTACTAGTTTTTCCTGTTTTGTTGCAGCAGAAAATTTATACCTTTTCTGATCTAAAGTTCTGCATGTGTATATTTATATTAAGAAAGAAAAAGAAGGAAGGAAGAAAAGAGAGAGAGAGCGCGCGCGAGAGAGAGAGAGAGAGAGAGAAAGAAAGAGAAAGAAAGAAAGAAAGAAAGAAAGAAAGAAAGATTTCAGTAGTGGAAAAACAATTGCAAAGTTGCTTGGGACAAGGTGGGATCAACAGAAACTGTGTATTACGACTTTTTGCACTGCAAATATGTGGAGACTTATTATCCTAAGTTTGTCCACAGTCCAACTTTCTTGTCTTTCTTTTCTTTTAAAAGCTATTATTTTGTCTTTAAGTAGCCATATTTAAATTGTCTAATCCTGCAAGTTTACAATAGCTATTTTTGCTATTTAGTGCTGATGGTCAAACCTAAATACATTCAGTTGGAAGCAGAGTTTAGTCTAATTCCAAATTGTAATACCAGGACGATTGCAATATAGAAGTGTACCAGGTCAAGTGTTTTGGATTGCCTTGTTTAATACACAAAACTAGTTGAAATGCAAATATGGATATTTATTGATTATAAAAAGGCATTTGATCAAGGGAAGCATGGGAATTATTAGGTATATTGAAAACAATAAGACTGGATAACTGAGCTGTATGCATTATGATGAATTTATATTGGAAGCAAACTGTATATGTTAAGTAGAAGGAAAAGCAAAATAATTTCAACTATTGTGTGGAATTCAACGAGAGTGTTCATTGTCACCCTTGCACTTTAATGTGCATTCAGAAGCTATAGCCAATGAATATTTATAAGAACAGTAAGAAAGTGTAAACTTTAATATCCCAATTATGTTTTATTCAGATTATTTTTCCATCTAGTAAATAGAGAACAATGTTTACAAAGTTTAGTCAAGTGTATCAGTCAAGTAAATCTTGCAGGCTAAATATAAAACAGAACAAAACAAAACAAAATGTTATCAGTAAAAAGAAGGTCCCTCAACAAGCTATAATACAAACAGGACAACTTGAGGGGGTGAGATATTATAAATACTCAAATACTCAGTATTCTGACTGACAGATGGGATCGTAGCATGGAAATAAAGAGCAAGACTGAACAGGTGAGAGTAGCTTGTTGAAAAATAAGTAACTAGCTTGCTGCTGGAATTTAAGATTGGAACTTTGTTGGCAGATTGTATTCTCTAATGTCTTGCCAGGTCTTTTGTAGGAGCCAAATCACAAACAGGGTAGGAGAAGCCTTTGAAATGTGGATTTATAGATTATAGAATTAGTGTGTAACCTAATGAGGCAGGCTGTCTCCAAAGCATAGGCAAAGACAGGGAAAGTGTGAATACCAACAAGAAAAGAAAATGTTCTACTGAGATCGGATGATACATAATGAGAAATATCAGTTCAATGAATTACGCAAGGAAAGCTGCAAAGGAAATGTAGTATTATATGATGAGCCATATCCTGGTTGAAATATCTCTGCATATGGGTTGGCCCAAGTAAATATATCCTTGTTTCAGATGGTAAAACTGAAGCTACAAATAGCATTGATAGTCTGCAGTAGGAAGTGGCACTATAGGAAGAACTAGAAGTACTTTTTAACTCAGTGACTGGATTGGAAATCAAAGTCTTATAGAGTTGGAAGTGACCATTTAGGTCAATGGTTATCAATCTCAACAACTTTAAGATACCTTAAAGTTGCTGAAATTGCGATACACTGATTTAGGTAATCCAGTCCAACTACCTCTTCTCTAGAGGAATCCAGACACATCCAAAGAAAGACCTTCATCTCTCTAGGCACATGTTTCCACAGTCCAACTATTCCTAGTGATAGAAAGCTTTTTCTAAGATTCAATCAGAATTTGCCTTTGCACTTTAAACCCATTACAGTATTCCACAGTATGGAAACTGGTCCTGAACATCTTCTATGTAGCATTCTTTGCCAAAATTCAAACAAAGCATACTATGCCTTGTTGCATGAATCTGGCTGATGGCAGTTTTTTCTGTATAAATTATTTCATTAAACTGTGTAGAAAAATTTTCTGCAATTTTAACAATAACACCAATTTATGTTAATAAATTCTTCAAGAGGAAAGAGACATCAGTTTGTTGTTATTCATTATTCAGTTAAAAACAAGGAATGATACAACCTGCTCACCACAAAAAAGAAAAAAAGCTTGCAGGAGTAGCAAAAGAAACAGATAAGAGGATATTCTCCTACCTAGGTCAAGGAAATTATATTTAGAACTGATATTATTATCTCCGGACTGGGTCCTAGTAACCTTAAAACTAAGACAGCCTATCCTGCTAAACAAAAGCAAGCTGAAGTCAGGGCACACAGCATGAAGCCATAAGAAAAGTGAGATATTAAATCAACTGGAAAGTAAAATACTAAGTACCATTTACAAGTAAAATAAATGGAGAAAGAGGCAAAAAGAGAAAAACATCTGTTTATGGCCATTTCAATATTTCTAAAAGAACACAACATGAATTTAGCAGTCTTGATTAAAATGCACATGTTCACCATTTTTCTGGCAAGACTTTTGCCTCTTTACCAGCCAGATAACAGCTTTTCAAATTTCCCTGCCAAGAAAAGAAGCATTTGTTGAACATCTACCCACAAATTAGTTGATAAAAAATAGGGATCTTTCTCACAATAAAACATTTCATTTTCAGACACCCACACGAGGCACACAATTGCCTTGGGTGTCTATTTTAAAAAAAAGTAATTTGCTATTTTTGGATCCTCTGCACGTTTGTAGTTCAGCTCCCAATTGCAAGCCCTGAGAACCACCAGAACAGAAGGAAGGCCACATTAAAGATTAGGGGTGTCTGAAGGCATAGATAAAAAAGTTAAGATGGTAGGTGCAACTGGAAGATAGAAAGTCCATCTATTTTTGCATGTCGTGACTGCCAATGTGACTTTTTTTTTTACCATCTCCACAGACAACTATGATAGAGGTGAATGAAGACAAATGCCTTCTTTTTTTTAAAAAAAAAAAAATCAACAATAGCCATAGGGGATGCATAAAATTTGTTCACATACATTAACATAGGAAGGGCAGAGATTGGGGAGTGTTGCAAGAAAATACTTTTTTTTGTCTTAACATATTTCATGAGAATTCTGAAATAAAAATTTATGTAAAAGAAAACCTTAGCTATATAAACATAACACATTAAGCCTCTGTTCTGCATAATCATGCAACTAAATCCAATTAGCCAGGTTTATTTATAAAAGTAAATTTATTATTTATATCTCACCAGAATCAATTTGAATCAGAAAATTCAGCTGTGTTGGTCTCACCCATCTACTCGAGTAATCTAACTTCACATTTTGGCTGTCTCAGTGCTTTATAAGAAATGCTTAAAAGTCGGACTTTTGGTAAACAATTAAGTCTAAGGGTTGTTGTTTTTTTAAGAAAAACACCCAATAGCTGAAGCTTTCTGGGTGGTTTACAATATTAATTTTCTATTTATACTTGAAAGATAACTCTTAAAAACTGCAGGAATATCTTAAAGTTGTAAAGGTCATTAACACCATAAGGGTCATTATCTGATAAATTCTAGTTGGCTGCAAAAAGTTAGCCTGGATTTTTTGTAGTCTAGATTTCACAAGCCAGCTTTTTTCCTAGAATGTGGATTAAGGCTCAATAGCTGTGTTGGAATACTTTCAAGCACAACTACGTTTTTTCAGTATATTGTACAATCCTTCCTTTATAGTTACACACACACACACACACACAGAGCCGATGAATCTGAAAATTGGGCAACACTCGGCTAACTTAACATGTATATATTATACAACAGAGACAGCATGCAGATGTAATTGCCGCTTCTTCTTTAATGAGCAGTGGAAAGAAACCAACGATTTGGTCTCTCCATCTTTCTTTCCCATATAAATTCCCTCGCATTATCTTCAGGCTGCTTAAGGTGAGGGAAGGACTGAGGAGATTCAATTGGTTATCCTAGGAGTTCATCCACCTAACGGCGCGGTTTAACACCCGCCCTTGCCCTTGGAGACTAACGATTTACTAGCCGTTTAAAAGAGAAATCTCGTAGGAGCGGTCCCCATGAATGAATCGGGCCCCAGCTGGCCAAAGCAGCGGCTGGAAACCGAGCGCGTCACCACACAACTACTTTGCTTTTCCCAGCCCTATTTAAAGAGGGAAGCGAAATCTTCCATCTTTAAAGAGGGGGGGCTACAGGCTTAACTCTCCCTCGATGTCGGTGGTAAAATTAAAACCTCCGTCGAGTCCCCTAAAGGATTCGGCCATTCAGTCCGGGCATGACGAAGGGCAAACAAATATCTTCATATCAACAGCACTACGACTGTCGCATAAAAGCGGGCAAACCGGAGCAGGTCGATTTAACTAATCGATCATCTCTCGTACCCACCCCGAATTTCCTTAGCTCTAATTCGGACAACATAAGGACGGGCTCGCTGCTAAAGTGAGTACACTCTGTGCATGCTCGGAGGCGCCGTTTTGTCACATGCCTTCAAGATAGTCCTTGCAGATTCACTCGGCCCAAGCCCTCCAGCCCTGCCTCCACTCTGGAAAGTAAGTGTCCTTCCTCCCCACCCAAAAGCGCCAACAGAGCTCCCTCCCTCCGCCGCCACTGGCCGCTTTTTCTCGCCTACTCGGCGTAGCCGGTGCTCCAGGGCAGGCGACGGCGACTCTCGCGGGAGCTCTGGATGGCTCTGCTCGTGTGGTCATCGGCCAGCAGAAGTTCTTCTGGCGTGAGCTGCAGAAAAGCCGGTCTCGAGAAGCTGCCGCCGGGCGCCTCACAGCAGGAGCTGCTCGTGGTGGTAACTGAGGTGGTGGGGGCGGCAGCGGGGGCGGCAACGCTGGGCCCGATAGCCTCGGACCGAACAGGCGGGGACGCCGCGGTTGAGGCGCCGGCGGCGGGCGAGGCGTACTGCGTACTGCGGGGGCTTCCTCCGCCTCCGAGACCCCCGACTAGTTGCGCCATCGCTGAGCGAACTCTGCCCAACATGCTGCCGCTGTTGCTGCTGCAGCCGCCGCCGCCGCCGCCGGGCGCTGCGAGCTCGGGGCGGCCAAAGAGGAAGGCACGCTGGCGGGCTCTGCTCCCGCCTTCTCCTCTTCCTCCTCTCCTCCTCCTCCTGGGCTCGAGCTGAACTCAGACACGTCAGGGAATCTCCGAGAGCCTCCTCCCAACCGCGTCCTCGTTGACGCACCGCGAGTTTTAGGCGGCTTCGGAACCTCCTCCTGGCCGCCTCGGAGCTTTCTCTTCCCACCGAAGCGCTTTAGGAACCGCGGAGACGCTCCTTTCCTTGGGGAGCCGCTGGCTGTGCCTCGGGGGGACCTTGCCTGCCGTTGCAGAGAAGTGTCTTTTAAGGCTCCCCGTAGGCCTTGTGGTCAGGTTGTCTTTCAATATGCCGGGTTCCCGGGGAGTTAATGAACAAGCCCCTGCTGTGCTTGGCAACCGCAGCAATGATTTACTTGTTTTGTTGTTTTACTTCCCAGTGACAACTCTGATTTCTTGATGGTCTCCCATCCTACCGATAGTAGCAGCCAGTCTGATCTTGCTTAATTATTTGATGCCAACCAAATTCAGCTAATATGTCAGTGATGGTGAACCTTTTAGAGATAGAGTGCCCAAACTGCAACCCAAAACCCACTTATTTATCGCAAAGTGCCAGGGCTGCATCAGCATTGTGGTGCCCTCAGAGGGTGTGTGGGGGCCTGGCCCACTGGGTAGTGTGGCTACAGTGGTCATGGCAGACTTGGTGGGTGTGGCTGGGGCCAGGGCAGCGAGGACCAGTCCCTCGCCATCTCCGGGGCATCCCCGTGGGGCCAACGCCGCTTGCTCGCTTGCTTCCTGCCCTGTCACTTCCAAACGCCACATGCTCATATTCTGGCGGACTCTGCTGGGACAACAGCATGCGTGCCCACAGAGAGGGACAACAGCATGCGTGCCATAGGTTTGCCACCACTGTACTATGTACTGGATGACTTTGTGATCCTCCCCCCACTAAATATACTGGGTTTAAGGTACTTACAGCTCTAAGCCAGTGCCTCAACCTCAACCACTTTAAACTGGCTGGGGATTTCTGAGAGTTAAAGTCCACACAGCTTAAAGTGTCTGAGGATGAATGGTATGCAATGGAATGCAATGCAGTGCAATTCAATACAGTTGGAAGGGACCTTGGAGGTCTTCTAGTCCAGCCCCCTGCCCTGCTCAAGAAGGAGAACCATACCATCTCAGAAAAGTGACTGTCTAGCCCAGTGGTTCTCAACCTTTATAATGCCGCGACCCCATAATACAGTTCCCCATGTTGTGGTGACTCCCAACCACTTATACATCACCGGGTGCCAGGGGCGTGGCCAAAGAAAAGGGGAAAAAATGGCGGACAGCCTTGTTTGGCGACCCCTGTGAAATGATCGTTCGACCCCAAATGGGGTCCCGACCCACAGGTTGAGAACCACTGGTCTAGCCTCTTCTTAAAAATCTCCAGTGATGGAGTGCCCATGATTTCTGGAGGCAAGCTGTTCCACTGTCAGGAAGTTTCTCCTTAATTCTCCTTAATTCTAGGTTGCTTCTCTCTTTGTTCAGTTTCCAACCACTTTTTCTTGTCCTGCCCTCTGGTGCTTTGGAGAATAATGTGACCCCCCTCTTCTTTGTGGAAACTTTGCTCTTCGGAAGCACCTGCACCTTAGGATTTTCACCATACTGTATCTACAGCTCTGGCTTTGTAACATATCTTGTTCACCTTAGAAAGGTATGCAGCTTTAGAAATAAACTGTCACTCCTAATCTATTGTTTTCTGAATATATTTCTGTTATCTTAATGCTGTTACTGTTCCAGAAAAAAAAATCTGGTAAGAAAAAAACCACTACTACCATCACCTGATCAACCACTACTTTTTAAATCTGTTCTTCATATACAAATCTTAAGTTAGCAAGCAGGTTAGGACCATTCAAGAGAATATTTAATGAAGTTATATGGTTTATTGATAGATTTATCCCCCAAACAGGTGGCATTCTAGATTTCAGAAAATTGGGACAAGACCCAGATTACTGTGTGCTCTTTTCAGAGACCTATGTGTGTCCTGTGGTGAAAGAAAGAGTAGATAAACAATTTGCCTAAAGAGCTGCATGATCCTGGGAAGATGTATGAGTGTTAAGAATGCAGGCCAGACCCAGCTGTTCAGTTTGGCATGTCCTGTGGACGTTCTCATGTATTGTGTTTAGATCTCAAGCCAGATCCTCAAACAAATGGCTCCATTTCCCCAAATGCTTCCATTCAGTATTTCATAGCCAGAGCTTCCTTTAACATCTCAACTTTCCTGATAGATCTTCAGTTCAGAGGCATTTTTGCCAATAAAAAAGATGCCTGATGTTATTTATTTCGCAGTCTGCCATATCGATGATTTTTATATTCAAACAAAATCAATGTGGATAGGAAGCTTGGCAACCAACCAAGTGCTCTTAACAACCATATTGCCTGCTCCAGACCTAAATACATTACTCCACTAAAGTCTTATGTTTGGTTTGTATAGGTAGTTCTCGACTTACAATCACAATTGATCTCAAAATTTCTGTTGCTAAGCAAGACAATTGTTAAGTGAGTTTTGCCCCATTTTACAATCTTTCTTGCCACAGTTGTTAAGTGAATCACTGCAGTTGTTAAGTTAGTAACATGGTTGTAAAGCGAATCTGGCTTCCCCATTGACTTGGCTTGTCAGAAGGTCACAAAAGGTGATCACATAAGCCCTGGTGGCTCAGTGGTTAGAATGCAGACTGCCAGCAGTTTGGCAGTTCGAGTCTCACCAGCTCAAGGTTGACTCAGTCCTCCATTCTTCTGAGGACCCAGATTGTTGGGGGCCATATGCTGACTCTGTAACTGCTTAGAGAGGGCTGTAAAGCACTGTGAAGCAGTTTATAAGTCTAATTGCCCCCAACTGAACCATTCCTAACAGTATCAGTCCCCTTCTTGGCCCTACAATATTTCCCACATCTTATCCCCAATCCAGGAGTGAGAGATGTTTAAACATCTGTACCTATGTAGATGGATTATTTCTCTTCTTATCCCAATATGACCCAACAGTAGTTTCACAGTGTGTATAATCTGCTGTGCTTTGCTTTGTGTGACCCAAGGTGTATAATGGGCGTGCTGGGAGGTGTAGGCATTTTCCTTATTCTCTGGTCACAAGCCAGACTTAACTGCAGCCTTGTTTCTGCCAACATCTGCTCTTTCAGCACAATAGAAGAAGGGAGAGCAGATCTCCCCAATTTCACCTGGGAAAGCAGTAGGAACGTATTTGGGCTAATCTACTTTATCTGAAGTGTGTCTCTATCTTGAGATGCAGAAGCCTTACTTTTCCTTCTTGTATTATTGGGAAAACAGCGAGGGTGTTGAAATAGGCTTAGTTTCTGTGTCTTAGTTTCAATCATTTCTTTTCTCTCCTAGATCAAGTATCTATTCAGTTTCACTTCAGGGCCTAGCTACTGTAATTGCATAATCATGGGATCATCTGTCTCTTCTCTGTCTGGGGCCATTTTTTTGTCTTGGTATCTTTCCATATGCTTTTTTTGTTTCAAATGGCAGAAAAAAATTGATTCAAATGTTAAATTGTCAAATTCAAATGTTGGTTAAATTTAAATTTATATAATTTCCATATTTTATATAATTTATGCAGTGACATAATTTACTTCAGTTTGCATCAATTGCATAAAGTAAATTGCTATTTGTATCAACTGTACTTACTTCATCATGGAAAGGACACAAATTCATGCGAATAACATCAGTTATCCAGACAGACTTTGGAAACAACGGATTTGACATTTTGCAGTTGAGGAGTGAGTATAAAGTTGTTACATTGCTTCTGAAATCCATTAAATCCTCAACATTACAAACAGTCACTAAGTGGATGTTTGCTAAATTGAGATTTTTCTGGTTTTTAACTTGGATGATGGGGTGGGTGAGAAGGGCAGGAATTCACTTAGGGAAGTCCAGCAAAGTCCTGAAGTTGGGCCCCTCCCATTTTGCCATGAATGTTTTCCCTGCTGGTTGGTATCATGCTGAAAGAAGATGCAGCACAGACAATGCAGAAGGCCCATCATCTTGCATATAATTACTTGCATAGTGACAAATCAAGAGGACCAAGTTCACAGCAGAATCATAAAAAGAGAGGGAAAAGGTCATTAATGGGGAGAAGAAAGTAATTTTTATGCAGTTCTGGTCTTCTGCTAACTCAAGGATGGCTGAGTCACGTTTTATCTTAACAGTGGAATAGACCAGAGGCTGGATAATCATCAGAAACACTTTAGTGCAGTGGTTCTCAACCTTTTTAATGCTGCGACCCCCAACCGGTCGTAAGTCGAGGACTACTCAACCGGTCGTAAGTCAAGGACTACTCAACTGGTGCAGCACCGTTTGCAGAATGGGACTTTTGGCGGGCTCAGCAGGGCAGAGACAGCCTGAACAATTCCTATTGGCTTCTGAAAGCCAATAGGATTAGACTCTATTCAAGAGTCTATTCTATTGGCTTTCAAAAGCCAATAGAATAAAAGGGAGTAGCACAGCTAAGGAAAAGGGGAAAAAAATGGCGGACTGTGTTGTTTGGTGACCCCCGTGAAATGGTCGTTCGACCCCAAATGGGGTCCCGACCCACAGGTTGAGAACCACTGCTTTAGTGGATCCTGCACTGAACAGAAGGTTGGATTAGATCAGGGCTTTTTTTGTCACAGAACGCCCAGAACGGAGTTCCGGCACCTTTTTTGGATGGAACCCACCTTGTAGGGTAGGCAAGGTGGGTTGTATGACATGTGAGTTCTGGCACCTTTTGTTTTTACAAAAAAAGCACTGGACTAGATGATCTCTAAGATATCTTCCCACTCACTTGATTCACAGAGGACCATTCTCAACTAAGTAAAGAAAAGAGTCCAAGTAAGCTGCCACAGTCAATTGCTGTGGGGGTTTTTTAACCCACCCATAGTTTTGCAACCATGAATTTCTCCCAGATCTGCTGA